GGCGGGGGCCGGGCGGGCGGCGTGACGCCCAGGGTGCTGCTTTGAGCGCTCCTGGGTGTTTGGCGTTTGCAGGTGTGGCCTGCAGGGGTATGCAAGACCTGAATTTCAGCAGTGCGGCGGCGGCAGCAGCTTGCTTCGCACCCCCCGGCAGAGGGTGCTTGGCCGTTCCCAGCCCTCCTGCACTCCGCACCGCGGGGCCGGCGTCCCACGCTGGCGGCGGGGGTGCAGGGCCGGCTCCCTGCGAGCCGCCCGCCCACCCCGCCTGAGGGTGTGCACACCCCGGCTGTGCCCTGGGGGCATGACTCCGCCAGCAATTAAATCTAGTCAGGCTGCAGCGGTTGAAGCCCGTCTCTGTTCCAACAAGGTCGTGTACGTGCGACTTCTGTTGCTGTTTGCAGCCGCTCTATGTCGAGCGGTGGGGCGCAAGGCGAGGGCTCCGCAAATGTGTGTTACTCCCTCATAGCTGTGCATGCTACACGCGGGCGGAATCATAAAGGACACATGTACAACAAAAGCAGACTCACACACGTGTGTGTTGTGTGGGAAGCAAGAAAGCTGGCCCAGCACCGGGCGAACACGCGGCTTCAGGCCTCAACCTTGGCCCACTGGAAAAGGGGGTGGGTCGGCAATCACTGCGCGGCAAGCCTCGGGAGCAAAACAAAGGGGACCGGGGCACGAAGAGAGACGGGGGAGCGGAAGAGAAAAGGCAAGGGCAGCCCGCAGCATCAGCTCTGGGCGCAGGGGTGGCGGGTCGCGCAGGCAACGGCACCGCTGACAAGGGGGGGGGGGGGCGGCCAGGGTGCTTCTGCCAGGCTCATGGGCCGCGCCAGGGTTTTGGGTTGGGTTTGGGGGCTCGACGGTGCGCGCAGGCTGCCGCGCTCGTCAGGGCCACTTACGGGCGACACCACGCCACATCAGATCACGTCATAGCGCATCACATCAAACCGCGTTGGGACAAAGCACCGCACGCACCATGCGGATCGACAAGCCCCTGCTGGGCCGCCCGTGCACGGGCGGGACGAGCATATCGAAATGGGGCTGTTCGGTGCGCCGTCTGCTGCGGCTGCCTGCTGGCTGCGCCGCGCCTGCCCGTGACAGCGGCCGCAGCAGCGCCAGCAGCGCCGCCAGCAGGCAGGCCAGAGGCCTTTGCAGCAGCTGCCGGCCAGGGCTGGAGCCCCCCGCAGCACCCAGCCGAGGCTGCAAACGGCAGGTGAGTCAGCAGCCGACCGCCTCGCGCCCAGAGGTCCTCAGCAGCAGCTGCCGGCTGGGGCCTCTGACCAAGGCCCCGGAGCCGCCAGCCGAGGGCGCACGCAGCGGCCAGTGCGGCTGCAATCAGCAGCAGAGCCAGCCGCCGCCCTGGGGGCCACGAATCCGTCGCAGTCGCCGGCCGAGGCTGCAGCCGGCAACCCGCTGCAGCCGCCCGTACCCTGCAAAGACAGCCGGCCGGGGGCAAGAGTCCGCCGCCGAGGGCGGCAGGCCGGGGCTGCAGGCAGCAGCTGGCCGTCGGCCAGCGCTGCCCCGCGGCTGCTGCCAGCTGGCAGGTTAGAGGTCCCCCGCGATGTCCCCATACATGACGAGCGCGATGCCCGTGGCGGCCACCAGGCCTATGATGTGGGCCGTCTGGTAGGTGAGCGCCATGAGGGCCGACGCCTTGGTGCAGCGCCTGGGGTGCACGAGGCCGGGCGCCAGGATGTAGGAGATGGTGCTGGGGTGGGGGGAGGGGGTGAGGATGAGTGCGGGTGCAGAATTTCAGGGTTGAGGGCGCGGATCTGAGGGGGTTGAATGGTTGCGGTTGTGTCACTCTGTGTGGGTTGGATGCGGGTGTTTGGCGACTGACCGGGTTGAATTTGGGGGTGAAGGGGGCGAGGGGGCATCTATGTTTGAGTGACGGTTGGGGTTTAGGGGGTCGGAGCAGGTCGGCAGGAGGGGAGGGGAGGGGGGTGGCGGTACGCGATGGATGTGCTGGTGAGAGGGGCGCGAACATGGGGCGCAGGACAAAGCGGCGGGGAGAGGCGGCAGGCGCAGGCCGCAGGCGCCCGCAT